CTTGTTGTACTGCACAGTTCTCAGAGATGCTAAAAAATACCTTTCTGGTGGAAGAAATCTCATTCTGAATTTCGTTGGACTTTGATTAGGTCACTCACACAAATAAATGAGTTTTAGAGCAGCAGTTTGGATGGAAGGCTTCCAGCAAACTGGTTTCTTGTTTGGATCACGCGTCTCAAGGGGGCACTGAGTCTGACACAGGAGAGACCACCCTGTAACCCTGCTGCTCCCAAAGGGGTGTATGGCTCAGCCCCAGTCTGACAGCCTCTGGAGTAGCTGTGCTGTGTCTGGAAAGCAAGATCACAACAGAAATGAATCCCTGGCTGGAAAATTGCTGGAAGTTTGCTTAGCTCAAAAGAACCATGAAGCTGTGAGGTCTGATTCTGTCTGTACCTTTTTCCTGTGTGAGATAGTGGTACCCAGCATCTTTCTGATTCTTTGTGCTGATGAATCAGCCTAGTGCTGTGAATTTTACCTGGGTCTAGATCAGATGATGCTCCTCTTCAAAAAGAGACCTTGATTCTCTGAAGCTGAGGAACACTTCTTGCAAGGATTCATCAGGAATGACAAAGGCTTTAACGATGCTGCTGTCATTCTGGCCTATCTGTAACTCTTAGATGTTGTTTCCCCTCAGCACAATGTTATCTGAGAAGTGCGGGATGGATTGGCTGCAGACTGAACCTCACAGCCCCTCTGCTCCCTGCCTGCTCCTGTCTCTTAGCCTGACGTGGGCACAGGGAAGGGACGCAGGTCCAGAGGGAAGAACCGTAGGAATGAAGGGAACATATGGAACTGAGAGGCTACCAGTAACTCCAGAGTTAAATAAATCACAGAATCCCAGAGTGGTTTACTTGGATGCCCATCCCAGTCCCATCTCCATGGGCAAGGACACCTTCCACTGTCCCAGCTTGCTCCAAGCTCCAAGTGTCCAACCTGGTCTTGGACACTTCCAGGGATCCAGGGGCAGCCACAGCTGCTCTGGGCACCCTGTGCCAGGGCCTGCCCACCCTCAGGGAAGTTCTTCCTACAGGGAAAAACGTCTTCCTAAAATCTAATCTAAATCTACTCTCCTTCAGGTTGAAGCCATTCCCTGCGTCCTATCCCTCCATCCTTTGTCCCCAGTCCCTCTCCAGCTCTCCTGGAGCTCCTTTAGGCCCTGGCAGGGGCTCTGAGCTCTCCCTGGAGCCTTCTCCTCTCCAGGTGAGCACCCACAGCCCTCCCAGTCTGGCTCCAGAGCAGAGGAGCTCGACCTGGTGGCTCTAGGGAAATCTGGTGACCTGCACTGCCCACTGTGCGTGAAAGGTGTTTGATCCCCCTTGTGCATCCTGCAATTTTTGCCTGCCTGTTTCACAAAATAGCATGGGCTCAGCACGCCCCTGCAGCACGGTGCTCACCTCAGCAGTCCTCACAGCTTCTTTTGCAGACAGGCTCCATCAGTTATATCAATTCGATACTGAAGGCAGCGCCCATCAGCCTCTCTTCTATTTTGACTTGTAAAACTCAAAACATCTGCCCAGCCAGAGAGAACACTAAAAGCAGGCAGGGAATGGGCGCTGTGATGTCCTCCTTGTCCCACTGCACAGCATGAGAGCACCCTATGAGCACCCCCAGCTTGCAAACCCAGCCTGTCCCCAGGGCCAGAGCAGCCCCAGCAGCTTTGCAGAGGCTGATTGAGCAGCAGGTTCTGCAGTGAGATCATGAAGCAAGGTCATTGTGGGGAGAACTCTGCAAAGGCAGTGCATTACAGCAGGCAGGACTTGGGCTCAGGGCAAGTGGTGCTGGCACCCTCCTAGCCTGGCTGAGAAAATGGCTGGGGCTACAGCCAGGAAAGGTGAAGGGGTGCAGGTGTGGGATGCAGCTCCTATGAAAGTGCTGTGGTAAGAGAACTGCTAATTAATTCAATACCAAAATACTTGCTTAGGTAGAAGGCTGCTTCTGAAACTCATGAAGATTGAAACAGCCAAACTGCAGCTTCCAAACTGCTCTGAGGATTGCAGTCCTCTCCTGAGAGCCTCCAAAGATGTGAATCTTAGCAAGGGAGTGAGAGAACTGCAAACCAGTTCCCTCTCAACCATATGTGGTGCAATCCCCATTCAGCCCATGCAGCAGAGATCCCAGCCCTGTTCTCACAGTAAACTCACCTCTAACACTGTCCTGAGACCCATTCCCCTCCTCTGCCTCAGTCAGAGCCCTCCAGATTCCCACTGCAGGGAGCAGAAATTCATTTCCCTTCACACATCTGCGTGGTAGAGAGCACACGTATCACTGCCCCTGGGGAACGTAAAATAAATTGAGGGGCACTGGCGTGCTCAAAGCCTTGGAACAGCTGCATCAGTTTTATATAACAGGTTGCGGTTGTCTATGACAGCTTGACCTTGACTATCAAGGCAAAGTCATCTTTTCCCTGGAGGCTCCTTTCCCTTCCCTGCTCCTTCTTTCCCCCTCATCCTGCTCCGTCTCCCTCCCAGTTTATTTCTTCCCAGTTACCAAGTCCAGCCTTGTCCTGGACAAGACTGGGAACACACTGCTGCACCATCACCCCTCCAAGAGCTCACATAAAGCAGAGAAAGTGGATCCTTCCCAAGTCAGCTCTTCTTTCCCTGTGCTGCTGCAGAAGCACAGGCAATGTTCTTATGGGCTGTTATTCCTCCCATTTCAGACAGGGAGGGAGGAAATTGGAGCAGTGATGGTGCTCTGGGGTCCTGGTGATCCAGGGAAGTTCATCCAAGCTGCACAGCACCACAGGATGGAGATGACACAGGATCAACTCAAAGTGCTGAAGCCCAGGAATCATGGAAATCTTTTGCCACTTTACTGCGGACAGAAAGGAGAACTGGGAGGCCTTTTGGCCAGCTATGACACAGCATACAGCTGGACTGCATGTGTCATAAAAGGATGAGGGGATTGGCTACAGGGAGGCAATTTCTGGTGAGAACGGAAGCAGGCAGCTCTCGTGATTTCCCTGGGTGGTGGACAACGGTCAGCACAATGTCAGAGGCCAAGCCTGTTCCCTCTCCCTCTGTCTCTGTTCCCTCTCCCTCTGTCTCTGTTCCTGCTCCCTCTCTCTTTGTTCCTGGCGCCAAGGCCACCGCCATGAAGCCAAAGGAGGTGGCGAGTGGCTCCAAAGCCTGCAAGCCTGTGGGGCCCAGAGTCACCAAGCTGATCATCCAGGCCGTGTCCACCTCCCAGGGGCACAAGGGGCTCTCCTTCACTGCACTCAAGAAGGTGCTGGCCGCGGGCCACTACGATGTCAAGAAGAACATCAGGCGTATCAAACTGGGGCTGAAGAACCTCACCAGCAAGGGCATCCTGGTGCGGATCAAGGGCACCGGCGCCTCCAGCTCTTTCCAGTTGAAGAAGAAGCTGGGTAAGAGAAAAGAAAAGCTAACCAAGAAAAAGCCAGCTGCCAAGCCCAAGAAGCTGGCGGCCAACAATCCCACCAGCGCTGCCAAGAAGCCCAAGAAAGTGGTGGCAGTGAAGAGCCCCAAAAAGGTGAAGGAGCCAGCGGCTGCAGCAGCTAAGAAAGTGACCAAGAGTCCCAAGAAAGCTGAGAAGGCAGGCCACCCCAAAAAGGGTGGCCACCCCAAAAAGGCAGGCTGCCCCAAGAAGGCAGCCAAGAGCCCTAAAAAGTTGAAGAAGCCGGTGGCTGCAGCAGCTAAGAAAGTGGCCAAGAGTCCCAAGAAAGCTGAAAAGGCAAGTCACCCTAAAAAGGCAGCCAAGAGACTGGCTATGGCAAAAGTGGTGAAGCCCAAAGCAGGAAAGCCTAAGGCAGCCAAACCCGAAGCAGCCAAGGGAAAGAAGGTGGCACCAAAAAAGAAGTAAGATGACTAAGAGAAATTGAGAGTCTACTCATTTAAATAAATCCTGTCATCTTAAGTAATTTTTTGTCATTACATTCTTCTAGTGGCATCCAGGTACCTAAAACTAAGGTTCCCTCTGCAGCTCTCAGCAGAAAGCCTTTTTGGAGTAGTCGATCAGCATAGGCAGCTCCAATGCTTTCCTCTTCAAAGCTTGCCAGCCTTTCATGTAGGCTGGCTTTGTGCACAAGGAAAATATTTTTAGCAATGCACTGAATGGTTTGACATTGAGAGAACTGAGGGACGTTGTCTTGCTGTGAAAATTTGGATTGGTAATTCTTGCACCGAGAACTTTCTGAACCCAGAGAACAGCCTGGAAGCATTCATAGACACTGTAATTATTCTAATTTCTACATCATTCATTCAAAAGAAACTGTTGTACTCTCATATCATTGTCCAGTCTTCCCAGAGATTGCTGAAATATTTCTGTGTGGACATCTCTCCTCTTATTTCAGACTCAGGATTTAGGTAGACACAAGGTCAAGGACATTGGACAGATGTTAAGGAGTCTTCCCTGGGACCAGTGCTTTGGTAAATACAAAATACAAATAGAAGCAAATTTATTTGCAAATGTAACACTCTTTCCCAGGGAATACAGAGCCAGGGCAGCAGCTGCATCTTTATGGCACTTACAGTCTCAGGAAAGTAAAGTTTCATGATTAAAGGGTGTTTGCACAGAAAATCTCTCTCTTGGTCATTCCTGTTGCAGGAAACAAACCTTTGGTGCCATAGCATCAAAGTGGATTTAATTTGGGCAAGAAGCTGCCTGAGATGTGGAACACAGAAAGGTGTGGGTGGATGGTGTCACTGTCCCTGCTGAGCAAAACTTCCCTGTGCCACAGGCTCTTCAGCAGGGAAAAGGACCAAGCAAGTACCCCAGATAAAGCTGCAAACTGATGTTAGTACAGACTAGGAAGGAGAGACCAGGTAGATATGAACACCTACAACCATAAAACTGTATTTTCACATGTACTACTAAAGTTTTTAGTCGTCACATGGACATTCTTCTCTTGCAAGTGCTGAATCCTGTGCTTAGTTAATTATGAGACAAGAATTATCTATATCATATAAAATAGATCTGTGCCATTGCTTGCTATTGCATGATGAAAACCTGCAGTTCTTAAACTATTCAAAGCACAACATTCTTTATGTCTAACTGAAAAGTAGGATAATTAGTCAATATGCACAGCCTTTCATCAACCAGAAGTCTTAAATTATGACTGGTATTAATTGCACATAATTGAAATGATAAATTCCCCAAGATAAATCATATCTCACTTGTAAATCCTACAAATATTTTTTCCCGACAATTATAATAAGTTCTCATTCATAAGCATTTACAGATTAATGCAGAGCTATGGATATAATTTCTTTGCAAATGAAGCTATGTCAATGTCACTGCTATTCATAAATCTCTAGGCTCCATATTTTTTTAATGAAGTGTAACAAGTTATGAATCAAGGCAAATTTTTATTGTTTGGTGTATAAGCCTTAAGAATCAGAAACAGGTTCTGTAATCTAATTTCCCCAAAGATTATGTAGCAAAAGTGATAAACTTACAGTTAGTACAGCAATGGTCTTGACAGCTATGACTTTTTCCCCAGAAGAAAGTAATTTGAATTTAGATTAAGACACATCACTGTATCTTTCCTTATAAACTGTTGGATTAAGTTTCCTGATTGCTCTGTGTGCACATTTCACTGAGTGAACCAAAATGTGGAAATTAAAAATGTAGGAAGGGAGCAGCTTCTGCATTCCATTGACCTTTATATTAGTTAAGCATTTGAATTTTAATATACAGATGATACATACTTTAATTAAAGTGTAAATCAGAACGCTGATTTCCTCAGATTTATGAGCCGTGTATCACCAAAGCTCCATTCAAACTTTTCAACAGCAGCTCCTTCATGGCAACACCACTGCTGCTGTATGACACACCAGAGCTGATAGCAGAAGCATCTGCAGGTTAAAGGTGAGAACTTATGGCCAGTTATCTTTGGCTTTAATTAAAATTTGAATATGAAGGCAAACAGAGGAAAATACTAGAGAGAGAAAAAAAATCAAGCTGGCTGTGCAAATTAATACAGACAGGGAAGTAAAAGTCTCTTTTTACTTGTACCTGAAAATTTTATAGGACAGACTGTGTCATCCCCCAGCCAAACACAGAATCACAGAATCATCAAGGTCAGAAAGGACTTTTAAGATCATTAAATCCAATCATCAGCCCAGCACCAGCACCCTGTTCATCACTGAACTGTGTTGCCAAGTGCAACAGCAGCATGTGTTTTGGGACACTTCTAGGGGTGAGAACTGCCCCACTGCAATGGCAGCCTGGTTCTATGCTAGACCATGTTCTCCATGAAGAAATTTTGATAAGCACATCCATGTAAAGAATTTGCACAAGTCTTAGTGCTCTGAGTAAGTGTACTGGAATAAGAGGGGGTCTGCTGGCTTCCCTGCTGCTGTGGAAGGGAAAGGATGTTCTCCAGCTTTCAATGCCATCCCAGTTTCGTTTTTCTAAAATTCAATTTTCTTCAATACCATTCCATATCCTTATTCAGAAAAAATGAATAAAAATCCTAAAAATAACCCACGCTCTACTCCTCCTTTCCCAAACCAAAAAACACTCCCTCAGCACAAACTCCTGTGCAGGACGTGATGCTCAGATACCTGCCTACGTACATGTTTGATGCAAGTGGAACACAACAAGCACATATTTCACAAATAACCACTCTGGAGGATGTTAAAAAAATAATAATTCCTCATATTGGCTGTTTATTCCTTTTACAGTAAGTTGAATATTTATAGTAGCTGAAATACGTTCATCACAATTGCCATTACTCAGTCCAGCATGTTCCCTTTCTCTCCTAACTCTTGTTGTACTGCACAGTTCTCAGAGATGCTAAAAAATACC